AGGGGGAAAGGGGAGAAATAATAATAGTAGCTCATGCTTATTGAGCACTACTGTGTGCCAGGCACTGGTCCAAACACTTTACATGCATTATTTCATTAAATCTTTGCAACAACCCATGATGTAGGTAAAGTCATATGTCGCTTAACAATGGGCATATGTTCTGAGAAATGTATCATTAGACAATTTCATTGTTGTGCAAACATCACAGAGTGCACTTACACAAACCTAGATGGCATGGCCTACTATATACCTAGGCTATATGGTATAGCCTATTGCTCCTAGGCTGCAAGCCTGTATACCGTGTTACTCTGATGAATATTGCAGGCAATTATAACACAATGGCATTTATGTATCTAAATATACTTAAACATAGAAAAGGTACAGTAAAAATACAGCATAAAAAATAAAAAATGATACACCTGTACAGGGGACTTGTCATGAATGGAGCTTGCAGGACTGGAAGTTGCTCTAGGTGAGTCAGTGGGTGAGTGGTGAGTGAGTGTTAAGGCCCAGGACATTGCTGTGCACTACTGCAGAGTTTATAAACACTGTACACTTAGGCTACACTAAAGCTATAAAAAATATTTTTATTTCTTCAATAATAAATTGACCTTAGCTAACTGTAACTTTTTTACTTTATAAACTTGAATTTTTTTTTAACTTTTCCACTCTTTTGTAATAACAGCTTAAAACACAAACACATTATACAGCTGTACAAAGTATTTTATTTCTTTATACCTTTATAAGATTTTTTTCTACTTAAAAAAATTATTTATTTTTTTACTTTTAAAACTTTTTTGTTAAAGGCTAAGGCTCAAACGCACACGTGAGCCTAGGTCTACACAGGGTTGGGATCATCAATATCACTCTCTTCAGCCTCCACATCTTGTCCTAAAGGAAGGAGCAGTAACATGCATGGAGCTGTCATGTCCTGTGATAACAGTGCCTTCTTCTGGAACACTTTCTAAAGGACCTGCCTAAGGCTCTTCTTGGGGCAGTGTCACTCATTTCAGAAACATGTCCATGGTGGTTTGCTTTTTATCTTTTTTTTAATCCTAAATTTGCTTGTAAGCAGATAATATCCAATGAACATTTCTCTCTCCTAATGAAATCCTTTTGGTGCTGGGGGCCATGTTTTCAAACTTTTAAAGAAGCTTGTCGAAGTTGGCTAAAGTTTCTGCTAAACCCTTCACCGTATAATCTTATGGGACGACTGTCGCATATGCAGTCTGTCACTGACTGAAATGTTATTATGCAGTGTGTGACTGTAGTATTGTCCCCATTCTACAGATGAAGAAACTGAGACATGGAAGGTTAAAGACTTGCTTATTGTCTTATAATTGTAACTGTAACTTAGGTCGTCTACTACCCTGGTCTCTCCACCAGGGGTGGAGGAGGAGCTGCCCTCCAGCACACTGTCCCCAACAGTGGTCTGTCAGCAGGTCCCTACAGCCCACTCCATGTATCGGGAACCTCAGTGAAAGGCGAGAGGAGGGAGATAGTGTGCACATGAAGGATAAAAGAGGCTCAGGCATTGCAAGGGCCCTCCCCCAGCTTGAGGACACCCTACAGATAATAATGGCAAGACTCATACAGCAGTTATTATATATACCTCGGGCACTGCTCTGGGTCCTTTGTCAACTCATTTCATCCTCACACAGCACCTGAGGCCTGTCCTGTCACTGTCCCCCACTGAACAGATGGAGACTGACACAGGGAGGTAGTAATTGGCCCAGGGTCTAGAGCTACTAAGTAGCATCACTGGGTCCAGACTGGCTTTTTGGGTGCAGTCCATGCTCTTACCATGGCACTGAGCTGCTTCTCACTAAAAATGCCTCTGGCACCTGGGATGTTGGAAGCAGGACCAAGGCAGGACCATAGGTGGCGGGAAGCTACGAGAGCAGTGGTTCAAATTTCTCAGTGGGGCCAGGAGAGGGCCTGGCCCTCAGTCACACAGCCTGTGAGAGTCAGCCTCTAATTCCCTGTAGCCAACAGCATATGGCCGTGGAGTAGGGCAAAGAGGGACTCAACAAAATGCACCTATTTTGAGTTACAGAAGCCAGAGAAGAGGGAGGTCAGGGTGACAGAACCCTAACCCAGCCCCTCCTGGGGGGTCAACTGGTGTGTGTGTGGGGGACTGGGGTCAGAGAGAATGCTCTAGGAGCAAGTGCTGTGTAAACCTCTGCCCTCAGTAGAGGGGCTGCCCTGCTGGGCAGCACCAGTGTCCTAGAGTAGGAGTCAACCACCCCAGCCCCAGGGAGGGTCTGGGTCTCCCCTCCATCCGTCCTTCCTCAGGAGACTCTCCCTCAGCACCCCCGTCCCATTCCCTCCCCAGGTACACACAACACACAGTGGCCCAAATGCCAAATATGGCCATCTGAGCCTTGGGTATTTACTGCCAATATTTCATGCCTCAAACAACACTGTCTAAACAACACCTATGAAATATGAATGGATTGAGGTTTTGACAAACAAATAGCCCAGGCATAATACCAGGGGGAGGAGGAAAGGGGTTTAATGAGGTCTGGAGGGACCACAGGGAGTCAGGCCAAGGGCTTGTGGGATGACTGTCCTCTGTGTATAAGGTCACAGGGAGCCAGTGTGCTGGATTCAGGGCTGAGCTGGGGAGGGACCAAGGGAAAAGGCAGTGTGGCGCCTGCTCGGTGCACCTGAGGGCCCTTCCCTTCCAGCTAGGGGGAGGATGCTGGAAGTGGGTCAGTGGGCAGGTCTCTAGGGTCAGAAGGGTCAGAGAAAGGCAAGGGTTGGCGGGATGCTGGTAGTCTTCATTCTCCCCTCGCCCCCCGTTGAACTGCTCTGAGCCCGCTGCCCAGCCCTTCCCTGTAGGTGCTCCTCTGTCTTCTCTCCAGCTCTCACCCACCTGGGGGTCAACCACAGAGCCCTTATGTTGTACCCTCTGGACTGGCTCCTCCAGCCCCTGAGCCACCTGGGCAGGGGACAACATCCTTCCTGGGTGACATGTGAAGGCCCTATGGTCTTGGGCACCTCTCACCTCCCTCTACTTTCAGAGGCCCCTGTCTCCAGTAGCCTCATCCCCAAGCTCCTTCCTCCCCAGCCAAGAACCACATACTGTCCATAAGGTCCAGGGCACTTGGACCTCAGTTTCTCCATGTGTAAAGTGAAGGAATTGGACATGATTTTCTCTGATACTTGGCAGGTTCACAGGTCACTGCCTGCCCTTTCTGCCCCTGACAGAACCCCCAGGAATCAAGGAGTTGCCCTCTGGTCAGAAGGCAGGTGGAGGTGTCATGAGATAATCTGATAGGCTGATGGAAAGGGTCTGCTGGAAGGCAGATGGGCCCAGCTGTGGAGCATGCTGGGACCTCAGCCTATGGGGGTGTGAGATGGAGGGAAGCGGGCACAACTAAGGCCAGAGCTGGGAGCTGGCTAGATCCAGCCAGGGATGGGGCTGGACACCTGGTGTCCAGCGTATACTGGGAACATTGATCCATTTGATCTTGTTTGGAAAGTCTGGAGGGAGCACTGGGAGCCAGGGCAGAAGGCATGACCAGCTGGGTCTTATTAACAGCCGGGTGAGCAGCTCATAGTGGTTCAAAGAGGAGCTAGTCACTGGGGCCAGGGGCCAGCCTAGTTCCCCAGCAAGAAGTGGGTTAGCTGGTAGGGCCTGGACCTCCAAGTGAGGGGCTATGGAAGTCTTCATCACAAACCAGAACTCTCCCCAAAAGCCACTTGTACAAATGAGGACTCAAGTGCCAGGGCTCTCCCTAGATGCACCACATCCCAGGCTTGCAGAGGACAGGCTGACTGCAGACCTCTCACCAGTGGGGCATCTGAAATGGCTCTTCTGGGTCTGCATTGCCTGGGGCCTGGCCAGGCTTAGGCAACAGTTTCAGGGTCAGCATCTGTGTCTGGGAGGGGCCAGAGGACCCCGCACCAACCATAAAATGGGCTTTGTTGTCTAACCTCTTGGTGGGCTTTCAGGCTAGGCAGTGGATGTGTAAGTGGGGTGGGTGTTTGGAGGTCAGGGGCAGCCTCCACCATCAGGGGACACCTGCTGCCCCAGGCCAGGGCCAGGCAGAGAGAATGTGTTTCATCTAGCTCCCTCCTAAGAAATTTACAGGGTTAGTGGTAGCCGCTGACTTCCCAAGCTTACAAAATTGGTGGGGGTGGCAATGGGGGTTTTCTTCACTGATGGACTAGATCTGTGGTGGGGAAGATCTCTCAGGAGCAAAGATGACCTTGAGAAAATGTGGATGTCAGAGGAAGAGAGCCAGAATCTCTCCCTTCCTCAAACGACTGCCAATAAGCCTTAGTGCTGGAGCAGTTGATGGAAACTTCTCCGCTGTTGCCTCCCAAGTCAGGAGGCTGTAGCCTTTGACTGCATGATAAGAAATTGCCAGGCGCCTTCTAATTACAATTATCATCATCGTGGATGTCTTTCTTAATTACTTTCTTATAATTAGCTGTTGCCTTTTCCTCAGCATTTGTGTACTTTGCAGATTTGCTGACATTTGAGAGCCTCAAAATAGGGACGTTTGGGGAGGAGGGTAGAAAGGTGGGGGAAACGGGAGAAGAACCTACTCTTTTCAGGCAACCTGATAAATTTCAGGGCCTTTGCAGAAATAGATTAGGGAAAGCCGTTGATGGATGTGACAGGGCATTTCCTGAGTGGATGGCAAAAGAGCAAGAGTGCGGATTTAGGGGTTGGGCTTTGAGGAAGGTCTCCAAGTGTTAAGCCTTGGAGGAAATATTCCTGAAAAGCCACCAATGGTGCCATTTCTCAGGCTTGGGTTTCATTTTAGGAAACGAGGCTGGGATGAAGCACCCTCTTGTGGGATGCATTTTGGAGTTAATTAAATAGCTGAGGTCTGGGTAGCTTGATTTTTCTCCAAAGCCAGTGATGCGTTCTGCACACCCCTGGGCCTCAGGGATGCATTATAAAGTGGTTTATGCTCCTTGACCAGATGGTTGGTTTTCATTGTCTGTTCCTGTTTTCCTCCCTTTCTCCCGGCCCCCTGTAGCCCTGTGTACGGAGGAGTGTGTGCACGGCCGCTGTGTTTCCCCGGACACCTGCCACTGTGAGCCCGGCTGGGGAGGACCCGACTGCTCCAGCGGTGAGTCTGGGGTCTTTGGGGGTTATGTTGTCCCCTGGGTCTGGCTCAAGAGGGTCCGTGCTGCGTACATGCTGAATTCTTTGTGTTGGGCTGATGCTGCTTAGGCGAGCACGGGTGTCAGGGAAGAGGCATACCTGCAGTTTGGTACATGATGGTACTTGGGGGGGAGGGCAGGGGTGTGTGAGGATAATGGTTTGTGGAGGCCTGGAGGGGCATGTGTGTTATGGGGGAAGAGGGTTGTAGTGTCATCTGTCAACTCTGACTTTTGATGAAACACCTCTAGATATGGTCTTCGAGGGCCGAAGTGAAATTGAGATGCCACCCAAGGATGCAGACCCAGAAAGTCACTGTAGTCAAGACCTAGTCCCTTGCTTTGCTAGTCCAAAGGCTTAGTTTTGTGGGTGCTCATGAGGCTCAGGGGACTGATTCATGAGTCTGGGGACACCGGGATGCCTCTGTGTCCCTAAGGTAGAATGGGACACTTGTAAGGGCAAGTCACTGTGTTCCTACATTTCTATGGGTGGGCTTCCTGGTAAGTACAGAGTGAGGCAGATGCTCTTGGGACTGATCAAGTCACACACAGTGGCCCGGGCATAGTCTTTACTGTGGTGCTGGCCATTGAGAGGACGAGGTATTCTTGATAGCTGCTCAGGGAGTTCTCTGCCAAGAGCTCAGATGAAGGCAAATCCTTTCCCTCTGGCTCATTTCTCCTAAATACTTGCTGATGACCCCTTTTCCATTGGTATGCCTTGCAATCAATGATTGATTAAGACATGGTCTTATTTGCTTTTCAAAGAGGCCTTGAATAGTCTTGAAGCCCATTTTCTTCCTGCTTTGAACTGGGATAGAGATTCTTTTTTATTGTAACCTTAGTAGATAACATAGCTAAGCTGATCCATTAGGGGTCTAGCCCCCATTATTGACCCATCTTTGGGAGCCACTGTCCCATAGTGACTGCAATGGTGATGAAAACTGGAGAGGGACAGTTGGGTCCACAATGGCCCAATGTGGTGCTTTTGCCCTTTTTCAGTCTCTCTCTGCTCGGGTGGAAACATCTAGTTATGGTCCTTTTTCCAAAGGCCTTACCTGAAGCTATCCTATTTGCCCAGTGCATGAGAACATACCAACCGAAGCAAGGCTATTGGATGTGTTTTTGTCTCAAGCCTGGGTGGTTATCTTGGATCAGGTAATCCAAGATCTGGTCGGGTTCAAGAGACTCTGTCCAATGTGTTGGTGGCTGTGGTAGCTCCCTCCCCCCATGAGTTTCACTGTTTTGAGGTGTGCCACGCTGAGACACAGGGCCAGGGACGACTCCAGACAATGAAGAGTAAATCTGAGGGACGCACGAGTAAGAGAAATGTGCTCAGCCAGTCTTTCCGTGAACTACGGGAAACATGTTGGTTGAAATGCCTGAGATCTCCCCCCCACCCCCCGATCGTGTTCTGTTTCATGTAGTTTTGCTTACAATGAATTTTTGATGATGAACTATCTAACTTGGATTAGTTGAGCTCTGCTGGGACAGGTCTGCTTGCTGCTGCCGGATTATAATGTCAAGGGCAGCCTGTTAGAGGCTGAAATACAGCTTGAGTCCCGGGGGCCCCTGAGTGCATATAAATCACCAATCAGTGCCAGTGTGCTCCATGCTTGTGATGTGCTGGACTGTGCTGGGCAGGGGGCGGGCCATGGAGGGTCTTTCAGACGTGCTCTTTGTCTCTCAGGGTTTCCAGTTTGGGGAAAGAGCTGGAATGAAGGCAGCACTAGATGAACAGGACTAGGCAGTGAAGAGTAAATCTTGCCTCTGGAGTGAGTTTATCAAGCACGTAGGGAAGCAGCCTTGTTACTTTATATTACAAAACCAGGCTCCCTAATTTCTCCACCCCCAAGTCAGTTACCAGATTTGGTACTGAGCAACCCACAGCTGTTTCCTCAATAAATCCACCCTCATGGGTTGAAGAGCCACCACCCTTGGGTCTACTCAAAGGCATGTACTACTAAAAATACTAAAAGTACTTCCACAGGAAGTCCTAAAAGATGCGTTCCAACCCTGTTTTGAGGGACAGCTACATTGAATGAAGGGAATTCATAGACTCTCACTCTCAAAATCATTCAGAGCATTGAATGTTGAGATGTCCTGCCATGAGCTTTCCAACTTCTACTTGAATCCGACCTGTTAGCAAGGATCTCACTGCCTCCCATGGAAGCACATTCTAACTATTGGAAAGTTTTCCCTTCTCTTGAGTGGAAATCAACCTCTAGCTTCTACCAGTTGGTTCTCACTCATGATAAAGGTCAGGGCAGCCATGACCCTCCTTGCCATATCTGGAATTTCTTCCAAGAAGCTCAGTGGACAAGACCACAGACTATGTATGGAAAGGTGGTCATCTCAGAGCAGTTGATAATAGCCAATGAGGCCATATAGAAGATACTAGAGTCCTTTTTCATGGATCAACCTTTCAAATATTAGAAGACAGTGATCACTTCCCTCCCCCAAGTTTTTATTCTCCAAGCTTCCTTGTTTCTCACATGCGAGGGCCTGAACTGCCTTCCCCATCTGGTTTCTGACCACACAGCTTCAGGCTTATATGGGAGAATAATAAAAATAGGTACTATTTATTGAATTTTGCTCTGCACTAGGCACTTTCTCTTCTCATTTAGTCTTCACAACAACTCTATGGTATAGGGATTATTATTAACTCTCTTTTACAGATAATAAAGTTGAAGCACAGAGAGGTTAAACAACCTTCAGCAGACACACAGCTAGAAATGGTAAAACTGGGACTATCAGTCAAGCAAAACCCAGGTCCTAAACCTAAACACTTAATTATTATGCTCTTCTTCCTTCTGGATGCTCAGCCTCTATTAATACAGCCTTAGGTTAAAATTGATTAGAAAACTTAGGTGCTTACAGGGGAAGGAAGGATCTGCTTGAAAGCTGTGGTCCTGAGATGTCATTGTAGAGATAAAGGAATCAGCCATGGGACACAAACTGTGACTAGGCTTACTCCAAGCAATTTGAGGCTATTAGCTATTGTGCCATTGGATGCCTGTCTGCCTGCATGTGCTCTGCAGTACCTTTGGGTCTCTGTGAAGCCCATGTCCGCGGGGATGGTGTCCCAGTCAGTGTGTATCTCTGGAGATTTCTGAATAGGATCTGTCCATAGACATGTCTATACATGTGACACCCTTGCAGGGAAGCTTTGCTTTTTGTATAATTGAAAGCATCATTCTTGTTGTTTTCTGATTCTAAAATTATACCTGTTCATGTTAAAAAGAAAATTGAAACTGCACCAAAAATATAGACAGAAAGGTTAAATCCACACATCCATGATAACCTCTCCTGGCATTTGGGTGCTTGCCCTCCCTGCTATTTCTCTATATATTTGCACTTAGCTAGATCTGGATACAACTTGTATTACTTAGATCAAATGTATGTGCTGTCCTGTGACTTGCTTTTTAAATTCAACTTTATGTCATATACTCATTTCCTTGTCAATAAACATGTCTCTCCCTTCAAATTTTTAATTTTCATTCTATGGATTACCAAAAGTATTTAACCAGTCTCTTGTTGATGGGCATTTAAGTTGTTCCAGATTTTTCACTATTTGAGGGCCATCATTCTTTATCTAAGATCCTTGGGGCCTGTTGGTTTCAAAATTTATATTTTTTCAGAGTTCAGAAAGGTACATGGTGACTATATCATATATGACACATACCCGCAGTGGGGCCTGGGTAGTACCCTGGGATGAAATATAATAATACTTCTGAAGTGACATACCACATCTAGTGGCTACAACCACAAATCAGTTCCATGAAGATCTTGTCTCTCAATGAATTTTGGTGCCAGACTTTTTAGAGATTTTTGGACATGTGGCTAAGGGACTGTGGCCCTGTGGAAAAATACTGCAGTAATTCTTCTTGTGCATAAATCCTCGCCCACTTGTCCCAATTTCTTCTTAGGATAAATTCCTGGAAGTGGAGGGGAGGGTTATAAAGATCCATCATCCTCCTGCCTGCCCCGGCCCTGCCCTTTGTGGCTGCCCAGGGATTTATGACTTTGACAGTTGTGAAGGGGCCGAATCCAGTACTGCGGTGGGGATGTGGACTTTTTCGTTCTCTTATGGGCTTAAAACCCCACAGCCTATTTACTTTAAGGCCTGGACTAATTCCTTTCTGCTCCATAAAGGAAGCGAGGCGATGCTGATTTGCTTGGTAGGTGGACACACATCGGCTCCTGTGGATAATTCGGAGATATTAGACGGACCGATATGGGGAAATGGAGTGGCTGCATGCTTGGTCATAAACCTCCATCCTATATAATAATGAAGGTAAAAGGGTGAAATGTCAGTCTACCCTGAATAAAGACGACAGAGTGACTCTTATTAAATTGCACTAATCTCACAAGTGGAGATAAAAAGAAAAAAAGTTTTCCTATATTGAATATCTAGCTTTTTAAAGTAATTAGGAATATTAAAGCAGTGACAATGATTGAGATAGAAACATTATTCATAACTTTTATTTCCGCACTGGGCAGTGATCCAGTATATTTCATTTATGAGGTTTCAGCTGTAAGTAGAAGGACGTGAGCCAATTCCTAAATTAAATATGCCCTGTTAACTTTTATAAATGTTACCCAAGAATCAACTTGGAAATTTAAGCCTTCAGTGTATTATTTAATTATTATATTTCTTCCGTCCTGCTTCTCAGCCTCCTATCCCATGGTGCTTTGAAGTGTGGATTCTGGTTTTGGTTTTGGTCCCAGGCCTCCCCAGAAGGGCTGGGTTAGACATGACAGAGAACCTCG